ACCGGGCATGTGATGGTGCGCGCTCGTAGCGTCGTCGTGCTCAGGCGCGCGGTGGGCATCGAATCGGGGGGCACCGCGGGCGACGACGGCACGCGGCCCTCTGTCCCCCGCGACCGGCCCCGGGGCCCTGCCGAGAGGGGCGCGAACAAAAAAAAATACACCCCCGAAGCAAGTTTGGACGCCGAGCACCAACATGACATCTATATGAACTCAATTCTCCCACGGGAAGTCGCGAGCTGGAGTGCCCCTGGAAGCGCATATAAGCAGCAAAATCCCCAATCAGCGTTTGCGCTGAAAGGATCCTAACGGAGATTCCCCTATCGGTGCTTGCGCTGAAAGGGCTCTGATGGAGATAGATTGAAAGAGTTGGCGAAAATTCCGGGTCGATTTCGGTAGGCGGCAGGGCTCGCGGGTTCAAGGTTCCGGGCTCCCGGGTTTCCAGGTCCAGGCTCGAGGCCGAGTTCGGTGGGCGGAAGGGTTCCTGGGTCCCCGGTTTTATGGTCGATCTTCGCATCGGTCGGTCCCACCATCGATATCCTTGCTCACCTCTCTACGAATCCCAACATCAATCTCTCAATCGATCACAAGATCGATCTCGCAACCCACCTAACTATAGGTCGCACGAGCGATCTCACGATCGATCTCACTATCGATCTCATTGAATCGACTTCACCCTCGGTCTCATGATCGACATTACAATCGTCCTCACTATCGATTCCACTATCGATCTCACCATCGATCTCAAAATCGATCTCAATATGCGTATCACAAATTTTCAAAGCATCCATTGTTTGGTTTTTCTCTGGCGTGATCGAAAGACTTGGTGAAAATGCTGGGCCGATTTCAGAATAGGCGGCCAAAATCGCGGGTTCCCGGTTCCGGGTTCTCGGGTTCCCAATTCCGGGCTCCTGGCAGATTTCGGTGGGCGGCGGGGTTCCCAGGTGCCCGGATTCCTGGTCGATCTTCTGATGGATCGGTCTCACAATCGATCTCCGATCTCATGACCCACCTCTCTATCAATTTCACTATCTATCGAACTCACAAGCCATCGCACGATGGAACGCACGAGCGATCTCACGATAGATCTCATTGAATCAACTTCACTCTCGGTCTCACAATCGACATTACAATCGTCCTCACGATCGATCTCATTAAAGATCTCACAATCGACCTCATTACGCCAGAGAACAACCCCAATCAGTGGATGGTTTGATCGATATGGAGATCGACCGGGAACCCGGGAACCCTGAACCGGGAACCTGGAACCCAGCGCGCGACCAAAATCGGCGGGGCCCTTTCGCCAAATCTTTCAACATCCGCGAGGGCCCCTTCAGTGCAAACACTGATTGGGGAAATATGCATGTCACTAATTTTCAAATCATCCACTGTTTGGGTTTTCTCTGGCGTGGTCGAAAGTTTTGGCGAAAATGCTGGGCCGATGTCGGTGGGCGGCCGGGATTGCTGGTTCCCGGTTCCGGGTTCCCTGGTTCCCAGTTCTGGGCTCCCGGCCGACTTCGGTGGGCGGCGGGGTTCCTGGGCCCCCGGGTTCCTGGTCGATCTTCTTATCGATCGATCCCACCATCGATCTCATTACCCACCTCTCTATCAATCTCACGATTTATTGATCTCACAAGCCATCCTACTTTAGCCGCGCGAGCGATCTCACGATCGATCTCATTGAATCGACTTCACTCTCGGTCTCGCGATCGACCTTGCAGTCGTCCTCACTTTCGATTATACGGTCGATCTCACGATCGATCTCACAATCAGTCTCAACATCCATAACGCTACATTTCAAACCAATCCACTGGCTGGGGTGTTGTCTGGTGCAATCTGGCCGACGCGCTGCCAACACCAGAAGAGAAGATTTGACCAGGCACCCCAGGGAGAACGTCGCCGACCTGAACGCTCCTGCAGGGTGGAGGGGGGGGGGGGGGGCGCTGCGCTGGATGAGGAGGAGGAGGAGAAGGAGGAGGAGGAGGAGGGAGGAGGAGGAGGATGGGGGGGAGGGGAGGAGGAGGCGGAGAAGGAGGAGGAGGAGGAAGGAGGAGGAGGAGGAGGAGGAAGGAGGAGGAGGAGGAAGGAGGAGGAGGAGGAGGAGAAGAGGAGGAGTGCGCTGGATGGGGGCCCTGGACGCGAGGCCGAGGCGCCGAGGCGCTTGCCCCCCGCCCCCCCGAGCGCCCCCGGGCGTGCGCGATCGACGCCCGCGCGTCGCCCTGCAGGCCCGCAGGCCTGCTCGCCGCTCGCGCTGCCGGCGCGCGCGGCCTGCGGCGCCGAGCGGATGCCATCGGCGCATCCTCCTCCTCCTCCTCCTCCTCCTCCTCCTCCCTCCTCCTCCTTCCTCCTCCTCCTCCTCCTCCTCCTCCTCCTTGCCCGCGCGCCACGACGCGGAGAGGCTGCATTTGAAGAGCCAGATTTGCTAGGACTGGGGCCGGCTCCCACCGCCCACCCACGCCGAACACGCTGGCCGCAGCGTGGCCAAGGAGGTCGCCTAGAAAAA